TACGACAATGAAAACTGTTTTACAGATGATGATTTTAAGACTGTAGCACCTATTACAAAAGAACAGTTTCAGGATCTGTATACATACTGCGATCGAGTGCCTCAAGAACACGGTTTCCGAAACATTAGTAAAAAAGACCTTTTGACTTTTTTATGTAAGTTACGGCAAGGATTATCTGACGAATTTCTTAAAGTCATTTTTTGATATTCCTCTAGACAGTCGGTAAGTTTAGCTATTACCAAAGTTCGACAGTCTTTATTAAAAAGATTTGTCCCGATGAATATTGGTTTTCAAGCAATAACTCGAGATGAATATATAACGAATCATGTTACGTCTTTTGCAAATGAGTTATACAATTCTGAACCGAGTATTTCAAAAGTAATTGCTTATATTGATGGGACTTATTCGTATATTAACAAAAGTAGTAACTTTCGTGTTTTACGACAAACGTATTCCGTACATAAAGGTCGACATTTGGTAAAACCAGCGTTAATAGTTGCTCCAGATGCATATATACTGGCTATTCAAGGACCATACTTTTCTGACTCGCGAAATAATGATGCTCGAATGTTAAATAGCGAATTTGAACGCGACGTGAATGATATGAGACAATGGTTCCAAGATGGCGATATTTTCGTATTAGATCGTGGGTATCGAGATGCCCAACCGTTACTACGTGAATTAGGCATTCATTACAGGATGCCAGCCTTACTTGAATGCCATCAGAAACAACTATCTACTGAAGAGGCAAATGAGTCTCGATTGGTGACGAAAACAAGATGGATAGTTGAAACTAGAAATGGGCATATTAAGTCTATTTTTAAGTTTTTTAACCACATAATTAATATGCACCATATTCATCATCTTGGTGAATTTTATAATATTGCAGGGGCTATAATTAACAAATATCACCCGCTAATTTCAATGGAAGGCGCTAATACAGAATTGGCACAAGAACTTCTTCATAAGTCCAAAGAAGTTAATGTTGTGCACGCACGAGTTGAAATTGAAAGGCTGTGCTATAGAAATGCAATGTGGATACATTTAAATGACGAGCATTTACATAATTTTCCGCACCTGACCTTAGAATATTTACGAGATTTGACGATTGGAACATTCCAGGTTCGTCTGGCACGATCTTACGTTCAGGATAAAATGCAGCGTGACGACACAGAAGAGTTTCAATTAGATTCGCTCCTTGACGAACCTGGTCTCATAAGGGTACGAGTGTTTTCACGGTTTAGAAATGCTACAAAACATCAAATATTTATAGCATACAACATTCTTGAATCAGATGGTGTAGACGATGATACCGAGCCAATTTTAGGTTATTATTGTACCTGTAAATCTGGTGAAAGGACCCTTGGTACATGTTCACATGTGGCAAGTGTGCTGTGGTACCTAGGGTATGTGTTAAGGATTCTAAAGGAACCTTAACATCGCGAGGTTTATGATACGGACGTGACTTCTCCGCTATTTTTGAGGATTAGGCCTTCAAGACATTTTTACTTGATAAATTAGGATACGGCCATTGAGGAACCTCCAAACTCCACACGGGACTTGGAATCCTTGGAGCTCTTTCTTGCCTCAATAGCGATTGACGTATCGTAAACCCGCGTTGGCACACAGCTGCGGACCACCGGGGTCTCGCGGTCATTGGGTATTCCCAATGTTAATAATAATGCAGCGTTCTCGCTCACTCCTGCATGGTCTACCTGGACACTGGACAGCAGGGTGGGCGGGAATGTTGCAAAATGCAGGAAACGCCCTGCCAAGGTGACAACTTTGAGGATTGGCTTGACCAATCCTCCCACCGGTTCGCGCTGCGCGTTTTCGTCACCTTGGCAGGGGAAACCGAGCTTAGGTTAAGGGTAGTTTTACTTCTTAGCATTAGATTCGTTTTTTGATCGAGCCTTACAACCTCGAGCAGAGTCTCCGCGAGAATACCAAAATTCACGCGTCATCAAAAGAGCAACGGGCTCTTCCTTGAAGCAACGGGCTTCAAGGTTACCGGTATTTTCCCAAAGTATTTTGGGTGGTCCTTCGAGCCTACGGCGGAAAGGGAACACAGTACGGAGCTGTGTAATACGCACGGTCCGCGCACTACAGAGCACGAGGGCATAGTAGCTTCGCGGCCGAAACAGTATGCAAGGTATCAAGACAATGTTCGTTATCCGTCTTCGTTATTGTTAGAAACACTATTAGATGCTGCTCACAGACCACCGCAACAACATCCAAACGAGAACTTCAATATTGCTAATTCTGACTGAGTTGTCCTTAGTAAAGTTCGAGGAAAGCAGCTTTCTGAACGATTCGGATCATTTTTAAATATGTTGAAGTCATCAACATATGGAATAACCTTTTACTATACATATACGTATGTTTCGGTTGGCCACAGTTTTCGAATTATGCGAAAATATGTTTTAATGTTAGGTGAACCTGTAGAAGGACCATTCCCTGATAGTTTTGGATACAATGTTTTTTAATACCTCTGTATATATAAAAAAAACTATATATAATATCAATATAAATATAAAATATAATATAAAACTGTAGATATATAAAAACAGGAACCATGGCAAAAAAAGCAGTTGCTTGCGAAAATACTGTATAACGTTATGTCAACGTTCTGTACGATTCGTAACGATTGTACTGCACTAGTATGTAATTTTACCCAGGAGAGAATCCTTTTCAATGTATGTATACAGATGAGGCGGTAGCTTTTCTAGAATTGCACCCTATCTTTGCTTACCCGCTTCTAGAAAAAACAAGGAATAAGGAGAGTTGCGTCCTGCCGATGCGAGACAGCGCGAGCCTACCGTAACTTTTCGTTTTGCCGTTTGATTAGCTGTATCTCAGTAACTATCCATCACAGACGTTTTTGCCTATTACATTTTTTGTTCACCGGGTCATAAGCTACAACATATGTGAAAATGAACGAGATTAACCGGGATTAAATTTCCCATGTAATTAGCGCGGGGTTCTTTCTGTTTTAAACACGGGAACATGGCCACTCAAACGTTTGAAATGTTAAAGGCAGTTCATGGCGATAATAGTGTGTTACAAATATTTGAAAATTTTGTATATTTTCATTAGGACACCAAATACTTTATATTGAATTTGCAAATAAAGAAGTGCTGGATACTGTTACGACGAAATTAAAATAACAGGAAAACCGCGAAAAGTAATTTAGCTTGGAAAAAAATGTCACGTTACTTGCGCGAACGGGCTCTATGCATTCCTACAGTTTCATAATTTGTAAAGGACAACCGCTGGTTAGAAAATACGAGGAGAGAACGCCGATTGCAGATGGCTTATTCAGGATGTCGGTTGTTTATTTTGAAAAGCAAAGAAAAGAGGAACAAAGGATAATGTATAGCGGGGTTTGTCGCTTTGGTATGCAAAAGCCTTTCGCTTCATGGTAAATAAAGGTTTCCTCGAAATAGAGGCGCTGTATTTGGAACTTTTAAGAGAAACGGTGCAGCGTTCTTAGATCTTTGCTACTTGTTCAGAAAAGTCTTCAAATAATAGCTTGTTTCGCGATGGTTTTTCGTTAGACCGCGACAAGAAAATCTTTCTCGCTCAATAACAATATCAAAACTAAAGGTAGACTAAATGAAAAACTTTTGAAAACGTACGTAAGGGCAGAAAATAAGGGCAGTTATTTATAACTTTTTATCCCAGAAGGCTTATATTTTATTTTTATTATGGCAAATTAGACAGTTCGTAAGTTAATGTTCGAATAAATAACGTAAGGAGATTAGTTTCCCCGAATGAGAATTCAGAAAGACTCTTAAATATTGTAGCAGTATCTGTTGTGCAGAATAATTGGATGCAGCAGAAATTAACCTCAATTGAAATTCTCAAGAATAGCAACAAAGGAATCTTACCAAGATTTTTGCTTTCTAAAGAAAAAGTGGGTGGATCGTTAATCTTATTTTCGTTTCAATAAAATTGTGCAGTTATACAGGGTGTTTGAGCACCCCTGGGAAAAATTTTAAAGGGAGATTCTAGAGACCAAAATAAGACGAAAATCAAGGAATTTGAGGCTTCATTAAAAAGTTATTAAAAAATTAATTTAAGAAGTTTCAAAACCCTCGAATTCCTAACCATTTTCGAGAAAAAAATTCCTTGCCGATAATATAATTTCAGGCCAAAAATTTCGTGCGTATTTTTAAAACGTCATAACTTTTGAACGGATTAAAGGATTTTAATGTTTAAAAAAGCAAATATCGTGTATTTTAGTGAAGAATATGTAGGAATTCGAACAATATTGAAAAAGTTGTTCCTTGACCCCGCAAAGTTAGATAAACCCCATAAAAATGGTCCAATTTTCAAACAGCCGTAACTCCTACAATAGTGAATATATTTTAATGAAACTGTTTTCTCAAATAGAGCTCATGGGTACCTACAAATAAGTATTAGACAACATTTCCATAGGGCGTTAAATAAAATTACTAAAAATCAAAAACGAATATTTAAGAAAAATTGACAGGGTGTGACTGCCTAAATTTTTCAGCGAAAAAAAAATTTCAAATTCTTCTAAAAAAATTATTTTCAGTTGCAGCGGTCAATTACAATCATTTTTTGTGAATACACGTATCCCCGAAATCCTACGTACTTTCGAAACAAAAATTCTTTACAAAAAATATACTGTGTGACCGGAAATTTCCAAACACAAATTCTTATTTTAAAACGAGAATTACTGTACTTGGAACAGTGAAGTACTTACCTTCTTTGAAGTACGTCGAAAATATAGTATGTTTTATTTAACAAATAATTATTCGTGTTTACACAGAGAATGGAATCGATTAAAAAACGTACTGCATTTGAAAAAATATAAGAAGGAAACATTTAATATATATTTACATGTGCGAACAGTGTATACAATGTTCCTGTTGAAATTAACATAAGGTATGGATAAAAACATTTCTGATCGCATCGTGAACACGATAGAAATAGAATTATGTATTAAATTGGACGCAAACAATATGCTTTCGAAAGCTGATTCGGTATTAAATTACATGTAAGATATAAACAGTAATTAATTATCCATAGATTAAACGTTGAATAAGAAGAATAAACGGAACAAATGGTAATCTTAATTGTACGTTAGTTTAGACTTTTAAGATCGTGTAGACAGTTAAACGAAAAAAAAAAAAAAGAAAATGTTGAATTATACACAACATCTTCGTTTATTTAAATAAATTGATAAAAACTACAAAAAATTATGTCGAGCATGGTTTTAAATCGAGCATAGTTATAACTTATAGCTTACAGAAACTTATATGCTAGAAATGATGTTATCGATTATGATGCGTTTCTTCTTGTACGACAAAGAAATATTAATTGTAATGATTCAATTCACTTAAACCGTTACCATAAGTAGCTTATAACTTATCATCTGCACATGTTTTCCTCTCGGCATCGACGTAGCTTACAAATAAATGAAGAGCAAAGGACTCTAGAAACTGAAACTTTGAAATCTGTTAGGATACGAGTCGATGACGTTAAATTTAACGAGTAAAGAAAGTTGTTAGCAGGATAATGATGTGTATACCAGTGTTGTGTGTGCTTGCAGTGTACCCGAATTAACAAAAATACGTATCAAAAATATGAGAAGCTATACAAATTGGCATTCCGCGTTTTAATGGCAGTTGTTGCCACGAATTTCTGTACTTACGCTTAGAGCCCTTCGATCTCAGCTCTATACTTATAAAAAGTATTCACTTGTAATTATTGTGCTGTACGACGAGAAACTGTTTCCAGTTGAGTGTGCAAATTAATAAAGCACGAGTAATGTAAAAGGTACGTTTAAAAGAGTATTCATCGTTGAACAGTAACCACGAAAAGCAACGCAACAACTCTCAAATTCGCAGGATTCATTGATAATCTCGAGTAAATAATGCGTACAAAATTTCACATAAAAGTCATAATATTGTAGCTTCTTCTACCTACGATTGTTTATTGAACAAAATATCAATTTTTGGAAGAAATCGTCAGAGTTTTAAAAAAAGTCCTGAATTTAAAAATATTCGCTCCATAGTCACCCTCTCTATGTGTATCGAAATAGATTCAGTGACGTATTGAAATAGGCTTTTGGGACAATTGGAAGCGAAGATAAACAAACCATGAGGAAAAGCTGAAAGAATTGCCCATGGTTGACTGAACACTACAAATGTTTCTATTGCGTTTACCCAATTTCGTTGTCTATTATCTTGATAACTTTTGCAAGAACTCCTATTGCAGAAGAAACATAGAAACTTCGAGAGTAAAAGGAGGAGGGAGATCAATTTTAATCGAGGGGTGATAAATTTTTAGGGCTAGACAGACATACGTGGCAGTAACTCAGCTTGCAAATCTTATTTTCCGCTCCCTGGAAACGTCTATTTGCTCGATAAAGGATGAAAGAGGAAGATTACTATTTTTTTCGAAACGACCCAAAAGTCAGAAAGTTTAATCATCAATATTATTACCATTTAGCCTTCAATTATTATGATTGTATTAGCACCGATCACGAAATGTAATAACATTGCGACAGCTTATTTCGTCCAGCCAGGCTGTAATTTTGTACGAATTATTTATCGAACGTTATTAATAAATGCTGCTAGTCTGACAAATACTAGAAATTGTCCGATGTGAAATGGCTCGTACACGACGGCCAAATATTTAATTCCACCGCAACAAAAACTATGTTCGGCACAATGTAACACGTTACTCGGTATCGTTGATTAATTAAATCTTGTACAATGCAGTTTACTCGGTATCGATATTAAAATTTTTCGTTTAAGAAGTACATCCTCTTTCCATTCTATATCAGACTTACGACGAACAAGTAGACTCGATATCACGGCTGCTTCAACAATTAACTTGTACTTTGGCTTTTCTTGTACCCATGTTTTTAAAGTCACAAGTACTTGGCGTACGAAAAACACTGGATGCGACCTGGGATTCATAATCAATGTACTGTGCGTCCGCGAGAAGTTGGCTAGCGAAAGGAATGCGGATCCGATTGGTTCCCCACTCTAATTAAGAGTTTGGCAAGCCCACGGTCACAGTCACAGATATTGTCGCTATTGGTCGAAACGACGATGGGTCGTACGACGAAAGTGAGGGGTAGGCGGAGATTCCACTTGCCAACTTCTCGAGAACGCGCAATAAGATAAGCCACGGACGAGTAAAAATTTCGTTCAACGAGCGAGGGTGAATTCTATCGACAGATGTTTTCGTATAACGGCCCGAAAAGATAAAAGAAGCAAATGGAAAATAGCGCGTACGTTTATTATGTTGCTTGTAACGCGGACGATCGAGTCTATCGGTACAGAGGATTGAAACGCGGAAACAGTCTCTTACAATTAGAGGGGGCGTATCTAGTGAATTTCAAAAAGAGTAACTACGGTAATTTGTTCAATTTGTCGTGGAAAGACGCGGTCGTGGCGCGCAAGCGTGTTCGTATCCTAGAAAATGAAGGAAATCTTTACAACCTTGGAGCAACAATCAGTGGAGTTTTTATGTACAACAGTCTTCCACCGTGATCGGATTTCGTTGTCGCGGTGATTTTGCTTGGTGCGGCCTCGAAATAGTATCTTGTACATCCTCCGCGTCCCGACCGTCCACTGATTTTCATTATCCTGCATAATCCTTTGTGATACCACTGTGGCGCGTAAACTTCCATCTGCATTTTTCAGTCCCGTAAACATCCGCCTCGGCACAAAAGAACGTGTTGACCTTCGTGCGTGAAACAATCGTCTGTTTCGGGATCATTCGTCCTCTCAAACATGGTCGCCCCAGATTGTTACCGTTTTTGCTCGGTCCACTGACGCGAGGTAGGTGCCCTGTGTGTGCCAAGAAACCGCTGTCACCACGGCTCTGCAAGAAACAGTGTGACAAATTAATTGGATTACCCGAATCAGCGTTATTGATGTCGATCGACGTCAGTACCGAGCACGGAACAAAGTGAATCGTCGAAACATTTTGAACGCTCGAGAACTATAGTTGATAATAGAGACAAATACGAGGTCGTTTCATAAATTATTGCCTGCTTCGCTGCGCGAACTTTTGATACAATGTCAGCGCAGATCATCGTTTCTTTGGACGTTCAAAGTTTCACCTGTCTTTGACGCAATGCTTAAACAAATGTTCGACATTTTTGTGTCGAAACTTAACACGAGGAAAATTCGTATTACATTTAGTTTTTACTTAGAATTTGTTCTAAACCTATTCACACCTACTCATCCGAAACGTGATATTTTTTCATAGGATCCTCGTCAAGTGTGTACGAATTAAATGGTCGCTAAGGAAAGGGAAAAATAAACTCATACGGAATGTTTGCAAACAGCACAGATAGTGTGAAAATTACCCCACAACTTTCATAGATAAATACATCAGCATGAGAATCAAATTCTATATCATCAAGAATAATAGTGCCATAAATGCACTTCACACTTCCGCGTCCATTAATGACAGTCAACTTTTTTCTAGTAAAATGACTGTCTGAATAATTTTGATGTAGTTATAGTCCATTGACCATGTAACAAACTCAAGAACTTAATAAGATTAGGAGTAAGATTATAAAGAATTATAACTTTTATAATAAAATAATAACTTTAAATAAGTAAATATAACAAAATAAGATTCTTCGTCCAAGGTTTCGTTGTCGAGAAGGAGGTATGAATTCGTTGAAAACGAGTGAGATTCAGTATGGCTTGATCGACGGTCTGTCTATTACTGACTGTTTCTACTTGAACCTGTGTCTCCAAAGGTATCATTTATCTTATCTAAATTCCCGCTAGTTGGAAGATAGTAAGGTCAATGAAAAACAGATTATATCATACTTTTGTAACATCATTCTCATAAATAAATTTTAGGGTACATTTCAATTTGGTACAATGTGAATATTGTATAAGATATAACTCAAGGAGAGACGCGAATATATTGTTTAAAAATAAGTACCTCATTATCGGATGCCACTTTACGACAAGAATGATGCAAATACGAAGAACCGAGAACTGACGAACATTTAAAGGCACGAATAAAAGAGCTTCTCATCCCCGTATTATATTGTTGTAACGCTTTTTTACATATTCAGAAGTATGCATTCAGCCATTAAATGAGACGTTTGAATTGCAAAATATTCCACTTGTTGTGGAATTTAATTTATCTGTTATTTATTATCGATGGTTAATAATATTTAAAGAATATTCAACATTTAATAAATTCATAAATTCATACATACACGTGAAAATATTGAAATATATTGTAAAAATATCGTGGTAATTACGTTAATTTTTAATATAACGTTGCTGTTCATCAAATTTTAATGTACTGCCACTGATTGTTTGTATATTCTGATGTAACTCATTCATTTAATAAGATAATAACCCAAATAACATTATCATAATTTCAATGCTGCAAAATATACGATTACGAAGGATAAGCATACCTGCTTATGAAATATTTGATGCGCTGATTTCATGCAAAGATTGTCGTTCACTCTAACTAATCGCTAATTGCAAACAATTGTTGATAGGCAGAGCCAATAATTATTTCGTGGCAAACGTAAATTAATTTATTCGAAGATCGAATATTATACTTAAGTTGTATCTAATACAGTAAATTCGTATCACGCAATTTTGGGCAATTTAATAAAACAAGGCATCAAACTGTACTTCTATGTATAAGAATTACTACAAGTTGCTTATGTTTTCTGAAAATCTTCTATCGCACGTCTTGCACCTCCTGGCAAGATTTACCTGCAGACACACGAGCCAAGGTGGGAGGATTTGAGAAACCTATCAAGTTGTAAAATGACATGGTTGGAGCGGTTTATCGAATATTGAAATCTCCCTGTCCACCTTATTGTATGGGGCGTCCAGGTAGCCTTTGCAGGCGCGATGCATGGCCACTGTAATTCAGGGAATCCGACCCAAGTTTCCACGGGTCTACTAGGGTTTCCTTCCATACTCGAACGTGAGTTTACGATACGTCAATCGCTACTGAGAGCCAGGAAGAGGCTCTAGAAATTGCAAATACTCGCTAGAATTTACACATCTTCGATCTAGAAGTGAACACGAATGGGAATAGTGCGGTAATTGGGTCTAGGTATCCTTAATTTCGAAAATCACGCTTATAACAATTGATTACAAACAAATTTCTTTGTTAACGTCATATAATTCGAGACAATTTTTAAAGTAATCAACAGGAAACGGTAGAAATATGTTTATCGAGTCAACCGGATTTAATAATACTACGAAAGAGCTTCAGTCGTTGAAGAGATATGGCACATAATATTTATGAAACAAATTATGTTTACCTTTAGCAGTTACATTTCGTAATTTCTTTGATAAGAAGAGCACACGGGGAGATGCAGCACGCAATACTTATAAAGCAAATTACGTTTGCTTGCAGTTACATCTCATGGTTCACTCGATAAAAAGAACACACGGAACAGCGGAATATTACAGTGTATAAATTCTATAATTAAAGTGAATAAAAAACCGGACAAAATTTGGTGTCAACTTTGGTTAGCTTTTGATGCAAGTAGGAAATTTATAGCAAAGACGAAAAGAAAGAATCTTCAGTTTCCATTGTCTTAGAACAGTCTAGCAACGCGTATTAAAAATAATAAAAGTTTGAACACGTGTAGTTAGGAAGTTACTAACGTTTTCTCCAAAATTGAGCCACTGTTAGAAACGGCAAGGCCTCCCCTTTAAAGTCGTTTTTGATTTATGTCGATCGGACTTTCTGTTTTCGAAATATCATCGTGTAAAGAAAAGCGTAATTTTTCAAATTCCACTATGTCACGTTCTCCGCCTTACGAAACCCTATTAACGCGTATTAAAAATACTAAAACTTTAGACGCGTGCAGTTCCGAAACTACTAGGGTTTTATTAATAATCGAGTCACTGTTGGAAGCGGCAAAGTCTTCCCTTCGAAATGGCTTTTGGTTTATGTTGATCCGACTTTCCGTTTTCGAGATATCGTAATTTATGTATATAGGCAATTTTTAGAAAATTCTCTTATGAGGCTTTCCGTGCTACGGCAGACTACTAACACGCATTGAAATTACTAAAACTTTAGTTACGTGTAGTTTCGAAATTATTAGTATTTTCTCCATGATTGAGCAATCGTCAGCAGCGGTAAACCTTCCTCTTTGAAATGGATTTTGGTTTTTGTCGATCCGACTTTCCGTTTCGGAAATATCGTAATTTATGTAAATGGTAATTTTTTATCTCTGTCTTCGTCTAGCGGAGTCGGACCTCTTTGTCTTACGTGCGTGGTGCTGATCTACCCCGCGTACGTGACTGTCGTGACCTAGTTTCGGCGTAGTATTTCCAAGAATTTACTACGCACTGTTTACTATTGACGCGAGCGCAACGAAACGTAAACAAAACCTATCTCCGAAACTAAAATCGCTATATCTCCGGAACTAATTAAGCTATCGGCTCGTACAAAAGCTCATTTTAAAGGGCATTTCATCCCCTATCCGATGACCACATCAACTGTTATTTTTTATGCTGTCTTCTATGTTTATTTTGACATTTACTTTGACTCTACATACCCAAATACATTTTGGTAACTCCTATTGATTATGCGACTGGTGTGCGATAAAACTGGATCTAAAATTGTTAGGTATACCAAGAACTAGCAACAAGGTCAAGAACGGAGAGAGAAGTATCTCGTCTTTGGCTTCTGAGTTGGGGTAAATCGTGAATTGTATTTTGAAATTGTAATTCGCTGATGAAATTGCAGTGACCACTGTCTAACTGTCGCGAAAGACTACGGGCTCCGTATGATTACATAGTGTATATCGGTAGGGAAACCGCGTCGCAGCCGGTGGAAACGACACAGTGAACTCCTCGAGACGTACTCGAGTGGTACGAATTTTGAAACCGTTGTCTCGGCTGGTGAACACAGTAGCTGATGCCACTTAACACAAAGAAAGAGAAGGAAAGGTACCCCAGACTGTTTCATTGTTCTTCCTCTTTTTGCCGGTTCTGTCCACTTACGCGTGCCCCTCCTTGCGCCTCGCTTAATTTACGACTTCGCTATACCTCCTGCGCCGATTATACACGCTTGCTCGTCGTGGATTCGCGTTTGAGACGACACGCAAGTGTGTCCGATGTGGTTGATTTGAATTGGCCACGGCATCCTTTGCGGTCGGTCATACCGTTTTCTCGTTTCTGTCGCATCTCCGTTGTGATGAGCAGCTAACACGCGTTAGAGTTGTCGTAGCACTGTTACTCCGACTGCGCGAATCGACGTAATGCGACAAGGGACGTGCTCTTAATTAACACCGCTTAATATTCCGTTCGTGTCTTGACAAACGGGAGAATATGGGAAAAGGTTAGTTTAATGGCTCGACTTCTACGGCCAGGTTTGATTGATGTGTATTCCAATGCGGGGGAGTAAGAAAACAGCCAGGTATGCCCACAAAAAGTTAATTAATCGGAAACGCTGACCCAGTTTCTTCTTCTTTCATACTCTGACTTCTTTTCAGTAGTATCAGGTAACACCCGATAACTAGGCAATAAGTTTGAGCGACGTTATAGCCTTATCGTTCAGCCGCATCTTCTTCAAGGAATCTTATTAAACTTTTTGAGCTGCACGAAAAACAATACTAAGTCTTAGAAGCCATTTTAATCTGACGTTTATTAAAAGCTCGATGAAGAGGAACGATAACTGGGTGGAAATAATATGCAACAGTCAGACCAATATTACACTCTCGGTAACATAATGAATATTCTGTAAATTATGCATCGAGTCTGAGAACTGCTCTTGATGACATTTTTCCCAAACGGCGGATAGGACGCTAGGGACCAATTTCCGTGGTCAGTTCGTTAGTCGATTTTTTCCTTTGGGGACCGTTA